AGCCCCTCCTATGGCATCTCCTTCAGGATCTGTGGGTCCCTGAGTTGTGGAAAGCCGCCCAGCCTTCTGAGCTGGGGGCCCGCAGGGTTAGCTCTGGTTGCTCTGGGCACTTGTGGGAGAGCAGGGTCAGAGCGGAGGGCAGCAGTTGGGGGCTGAATGATGGTGCCCACTCCTGCACACCCCGCGGTGGGCGAGGCCGCCCCTGCCTCCCTCTCCAAGGAGCCGACCACGAAGTCCGAGAAGCAGAGAGGGGAGATGGGGAGGGAATGGCAGTGGGGCTGCAGGGCACGCTCGGGTCAGCACTAACCGCTGGTGTAAAGGGACGAGTGGCCACTTCTGGCGGAACAACAGGCGGCGGTGGAAGGCAGCGCTCAGGCCGTCAGCGGGCCTGCGGGGGACGCACTCACCGAGGACCAGCAGCACTTTCCAGCTAGGCGCCCGATGCGCACGGCAGAGCTCAGGGTCCGGCAGCGCCTCAAAGGCCTGCACCCGGGGCTCTGGCCCCGCCCGAGTACACGTGCGCGTCAGGCCCCGCCCCCAGGCGCCCTGGCCCCGCCCCTCGCTCAACCACCGCGCTTCCCGTGGACCCTGATGCGGTGATCTCAGGAGACCCCCAGCTGCTGCGGTTCCTGGTGAGTCCGCGGCGGCAGTGGGTGGCGTTGGGCCCAGGGAAGGGTAGGTGAGCTCCCGGGAGAAAGCGGGGCCGCGTGAGGAGGCCGATGCGGGGCCCGGCGTAGGGGCCGAGGATGCGGGCGCCTTCCACGTGGACCCCGCTCCCCACCCACTGCGTCCCAACCCAGGTTCCCGCCTCCACCGAACTTGGTGGAGCCCGCAGGCCATAGACTCTTAGGCAGCGTGGTGTCCCACCCTTAGACTCGCCGTAAGTGGCTTCGGGGTGGGGGCCATGTTGTGCCCAGAGCAGCCTCGCAGGGGTGGGGATGAGGGGCAGTCTGGGGCCAACTCTGTGCAGGTGGTGCCAGGATCCTATGGATGCTGTGCACTCTGAGTTAATCAAGGGGCTTTGAAGTTCCCAGAACCAACTAGAACCCCTGGGGCCCCCTAGGATGCCAATGCCACAGGTGGGGGCGGGGGTAAGGCAAGGCCTCAATGGAAGACAGCCCCTCCAGCGCTGCAGTCCCCTTAGTGGGTGGAAGTCTCCATGGCTGGCCTTTGCAAAGCCTCGGCCCTCAGGGCCTCTAGTCCTCCCACCCACACCAGCCAGAGGAGGGAGCCCCCTGGACGCTGCTTCTCTCTGCACTGTGCCTCCTTAAATTCCCTGGGGAGGGAAAAAAAAGAAGCAAGCAGATTTTCCTTGGAGGAAAAACTGAGTGTTTAGGCTTCTTATTGAGAAACTGTTCATCAGCTAGGGTTTGGGCAAGTGGGGTTCTGGGATTCGGGGCAGGGGTGTGGGGACACTCCATCTTTGGTGGAGGCCCCCTCTGCACAGGTTTCTGGCTTCCTGTCTCAGACCAGCAAGGGGGTGGGATGTAGGCCATCTAGCTCAGACCCCCTGGGGGGGAGACAGATTGTGTCTCCCCTGATGCCCTGGACCCCCGCACTATTGCTGGGTCCTCTGAGGCCGGGACCCTGACTGCTGGTCTGTGTTGCCCCTGCTCCACCCCAGGCTGAGTGAGGCCAGGCCCTCAGGCTCCAGCATGGCCCTGCAAGACCACTGCTGCACCCCTGCGGCTGTGCAGAGGAGGCTGCCCATCCTGGCCTGGCGGTTGGACTCTGAAGATGGACTTCATCACTGGACTTTCAGTGGGGCTCAAGGTCATTCCCCACGCACTGGCCTGTGCTGAGGTGACCTGACTCCTGCCCCAGGTGAGATGTCTGCCCCTGCTGCTGGCCACATCCCCTCCCTGACCCCACACTAGGCCTCATCGCCTGCCCAGATGCAGAGTAGAAATGCACAGTATCCTCTCCAGACAGCGGGGCACCCAGGGCTCCAGCCCCATGGGAACCAAGAAGCCTTGGTTTACAGTCTAGAGCATGTGACTGCCTTTGGGGAGACGCGCGCCCCTATAACTTCTTTTGTCACACTTGTCACACACAGGTATCAGGGCAGTTCTGGGTTGTGTGATGGGGCCAGCAGGATGACTCACTGTAGCTTTAAGCATTATTTCTCAGACTCGCAGACTCACACAGAAACACGCAGGTCTTTGTGCTCCCACAGGTGGCACCTGTGGCCCCACTTGGGTGCGGGTAGAAAAGAGGTCCCCTCATCACAGCAGGTCACACTCATGGATGATCGAGGGTGAGTGGTTACCCTGCCTGTGTGCGCTGGTGTGCCCAAAGTACACAGTGGACACCGTAGACCCCTGTGCTCAGATGTCTACACCAGGGGCACCATGGGTGTGCCGTGTGCCTCCTGGGTGCTCATCACTCTCTCCCCAACAGTGTGGCTTCTACTCTGCCTTCATGGGTGCTTCGTGTAGTTCTTCCTGGTCACCTTCTGGCATGTTACCCTGAGCCCGCCTGTGCTGTGCTACTGGCTTTCCTGTGGGGCTGCATGCAGTTAGCCATGGGGTCCCTGTGCTTGGGTAAGACTCTCAGGCCTTCATTCCATGGTGGGGGAGGTGTGGTTCTGCTCTTCCCAGAGTACCGAGGCCCCTGCCTTCTGAGGATGGCCCTGCCCTCAGCATTTCCTTCTTTGCATTCCAAGGGCTATCCTTGTGTGCGTGTAGTAGGGGCAGGGGGACCCTCACCCCTCAGCCCTCCCCTATTCTGCTGAGAGGCCAGGACACTTGGAGAAGCTCCCAGAGCCTCAGACCCCAACCTCCCTTTCCTGCTCTCCAACCAGCCCAAACAGGGCATGTCATTCCAGTCCTCAGCCTCAGTCTCATCCACACTGCCTTTCCCCGCCATGTCCACCCATGTCCTCTGGGACCAGGCAGAGCTCTGACCAACACAGTATTCCCTCTTGGCTGCCAGGGTTCCTGCTGTACTTCGTCTCCTGTGCCATCATTAAAGGTTTCACCTCTGCTGCTACCATCACCGTGGACTTCGGGCAGATCCAGGTAGGCTCACTGTTGGCACTGGGGCACTGCAGGTAGCAGACAAGGCCAGTCCTGAATGTGCGGGTCAGTCGACCCCTTGCTTTCCAGAGCTGGAAGCACATGGTGCTCGCGTGAGTCTCCATCAATGAAAATGACCCTCAGGGGGGATGTTGGGTGAGGGTCAGATTGTGCAACAGGTAATCTGGAGGAGCGGTGATGACAACCCTGCTCTTGGTGGAGATTTCCCGCCAGTGCGCTTGGTTCCCGCACAGGGTGGTTTGTTCCGCTGCCTCTACTACCCACTCAGCCAGCAGCCTGCACAGCTCATGAGCATCCTGCCAAGATTTTGACAAGCGGATTATACCTCCATGCTCATTTAGCTAGATGATTTCATTTTTTTTTCCAATTTCTGTCAACTGTCTTTCAAATGGCTTGCTTCTTTATGTTTCTGTTTAAACCTCCATGAGAAGCACTAGATCAGTGACCACTGGTTACCCGAGGCCGTCATTGGTTCTCCTTTCCCTGGGTCTGACGTTCCTGGGGGGCAGGAGCTGTCTTGCTCCCGACCATGGCCCCCAGTGCTGTGCTTGGTATAAAGCAGGTCAGCGCTCAGGTGGGTGTGCAGAGTGGACCAGAGCTGTCTTGTACAAATGAAGCTGTGGGGCCCCTGGTGGCAGACTCAGGGCCAGGCCTCTTCCTTGTGACCTGGTGTTCTCCCCTGGGTCTGGTTCTCCAGGCTGGCCTGTGCAGTCTTCCCTGATGGAGGGCAGTGAGCAGATCAAGGCCAGGAGGAGGCGTGTGTGAGAATCCAGCAGCTGACATGTCTTCCCTCTCACTCTGTTCTGGGGCTGGATCCACACTTTCCCTGTGCTTCCTTCTCGCCACACCCCTGGGAGGGAGGTTTATCATCATCTGCATTTAGAGAGGAGGAAACCCCTTAGAAAGGTGGGTGAATGCGATTTATGTGTTATGTACACACACGTCAGGGGAAGCTTGGCAAATGGTCTGTCCTAGGATAGTCTGTCCTTTATTCTAGAAACAATGTCTTTCCTTTTTAGTGTGAGTAATGTCCCTTGATGTGATCATAATACAGATAGAGGGCAGCTTCTTTGTGCATTCATTACCTGGCAACCCCTATGCCCACAATGTCATTAAAACCTTGACCACGTCATGACAGCCATCTGAGAGCCCCTAGGGTGGGGTGGGGTCTCCTGACTGCCCAGGACAGAAGTGGAGGAGGCGGAGGTAGGAGTGTCCCCTGGCTAAGTAGCCCAGACTTCCATGGCACCAGTGCCTCAGTCACCTTGGCCCTGGTGAGCGGTGTCTTCGCCCAGGGGTGTATACTGTCGTCGGTGATAGTCACATGAACTGAAGGGACACCAAAGGCTGGTATCAGGAACAGGCACACGCCTGGACAAATCCAGAATGTCTTTGTATTTGTTTTTGTTTAACCGTGAAAGGTGCGTTAAAGCCTGATGAATTTTAATAGACATGTGCCCTGAAATATCCCGGCACACAGAGCTGAATTTTCCACAGTTCCTTGTTGCTCTGCCTGCTGGTTGTGCTGCTCTTTGTTCACGTCTCTGATCTTATATAGAGTTTAGGGTCAGACTAAGCATCGAGAACAGCCTCTTACACACACTGTTGGACTCTTTTCAGTTTGATCCTGAAGGCATCTGTCACTTCTGGAATCCACTACAACGACGAGGAGGAGAGTCACTTCAATGCCTATGAAATGGAACCTTCAGGAGTTTTTAGTTATAAATCTTGGAATCTGGAAGATTCAATTCATGATTGCAAAATATTTATTTCCTAATATTTTGTTTTGTCATAAACTGATGCTTTTGAAAGAGATCTCATTAATTGGACTGTTTCACGTCTCTCTGGGGTGGAGCAGTAATAAACGCAGGTCCACATTCATGTTCGGGGTGCAGATCCACATGATCCGAACTCTTCCACTTCTTTTCCATTTGATGGTTCCCTGTGTTCTCCTCCCCCTGAGCTATGATGATTCTTTTATGACACTTGTGAATATGTTTTTTTAAACTTTAGGTGCCTTTTTTAAAAAAATTAAAACATAGAAATCCTCATGGATGTTTCAGGATGTCCTAGTACCTAGAACATTCGCTACTGGAATTCCTCTGTGTTTTCATTGCCCTGGTTGGGACCCTTTAAAGTGAGTGAACGAGACTCTGTCCTCCCTTCTGGAGGATGTCTTCTGTGTTGCTGATGCACCGTGCAGCCTTTAGTCATCATTACAGCGTCAGTGAGATATAGTTCACATGTAATATGAGTCACACTGTAAGGTGTGTAAATCAGTGTTTTTAATATTCTCACAGAATTGTGCAATGTCACCACAATCGATTTTGGAAGCTTTCCATCACTGCTCCAGAAGAAACACTCTACTCGTTAGGAGACAGTCCCGTTTCTGCTAAGCCCTCAGGCCTAGGCAAACAGAAATTCATATTCTGTTTCTGTGGATTGGCCTATTTTGAACATTGCCTATAAATGGAATCATACGATGCGTGGCCTTTTGATTCTGGCTTCTTTCACTCAGCATGACGGCTTCAGGGTCCACCCATGTTGCCGCATGTGTGAGCCCTCCATTTCTTTTCGATGCTGAATGGCATTCCATCGTGTGGCTGCAGCACAGTCTGTTTATTCCTCAGCTGATGGATATTTGGGTTGTGTCCACTTTTTGGCTATTATGTATTTGTCTGCTATGAGCATTCATGTACAAGGTTTTGTGTGGACATCTGCTTTTGTTTCTTTTGGGTCTGTACCCAGGAGTGGAATTGCTGGGTCACATGGTAACTCTTGGTGTCACTGTTTGAATACCTGCAAGGAATTTTCCTGAAGCAACTGCACCATCAAGTGCAGACCTGCAGGACACTCAGGTGTGTCAGGTCTGTGGCCTGGTTGCAAGGACATGTGGCCAGCAGGGGGCACCGTGGGGCTATCTCAGAGGTGAGCCTGCCTGGCCCTGCCACCTGGGAAAGTCTCACAGGCCAGAGGGAAGTGAGCAGTGAGTTCACTGAGCTGTGCTGTGATGAGACTGCAGCGGTCAGGACCTCCGGGACCCTGGGCCATGAAGGGCCAGGCTCTCTCACCACCTGGGGCCTGGGAGGGTGCAATTCTCTTCCTCCTCCTCTTCCTCCAGGCAACAGAGACTGTGCCTAGAGCTGAGGGGTGCTACAGGGGGTCAGGGACCCACACACATTTGAATGTAGGAACTCCTCCCCTGTTGGGTCTTTTAGATAATGAAAGAGATATGGGGGACCCAAGTGTCCCTGAAGGGGTCTTGGGAGGGGAGCTCTTGAGCACCTGCATGGTGCATTGGGCCCCTTTCCCCATCTGCCTCCTCACTTTGCACAGGTGCTGGGGGCCTCTCCTGAGTGCAAGACTCTGGGGAGCCTCAGCTCACCTCTGCTTCCCCCTCACTCACTCAGCTCACTGTTCTCCCTGTGTCTCCCACTATTGATTCTGGGTCCAGATGGGACTGACTCAGCCACCCTCAGGGACCAAGTCCCTGGGACAGACAGGCACACTCACCTGCATGGTAAACAGCAACAGTGTTGGCCAACAGAGAGCAGCATGGCTGCAGCAGCTCCTGGGCCGCGTCCCCAAACTCCTGATCCACAGGAGTAACAGCTGGCTGTCAGGGGTCTCTGAGAGATTCTCTGGCTCCAGGTCAGACAGTGTGACCTCCTAGATGTCACTGCGATGGCCCAATCCTTCATTCCTGAAAGGTACGGACAATCAGTAGACCTGCCTGAATTGAGTTGTTGTCATTTTCCAGTGACATTAATCCCAGGGCATGGCAGTTGTAGGAGACACCCTAAGGGGTCTTCTGTGTTATAGACACCCTCTTCCTTACCTCCACTGTGAAATAATGGTCTAATTTCTCCTTGGTAAGGCAGTCAGGAGAAGTCACCCCATCCAGCACAGTGATTTCCTTCTTATCCTGTTGATTTAGAGGCACGAGGAGCCCACAGTGGCTAGTTGTCAGTCTTAACTTCCAGTTCAATGAGATCATCGTTGTGTCTCCTGGTGGCAGCATATATCCCTTTGGAACTAAGAGCTTTAGGCCAACAGAACATAAGGTCAAGGGGACAGAGGTTAAACACTTGGCTAGTGGGTCACTAGG